GCAGATAAGGATAATGCGCCGATAAATAAGATAACTTCAATAATTGAGATTTACACGAAAGTGGTTGATCATGGCAAATTTTTGGATATCCCATTTTGTTGGGATTACGTGTCCTATAGGAACATTGGTGTATATCTCGATAAAAGTGAAACCCATCATCGTAGGATACATTTAGTATATTTTCAAATAAATCAGCTAATGCCTGTACGAAGTATATCTGGGTCAAAAGTTTTACGATGTTCACTGCATAGCCACGTGTTTGATGATTCTGGTGAAAGAATATTAGTTGACTGATCTTTATTGTTAATCACGATATTTTGTAAATTTTTGAATGCCTCCACAAAATTATATGATATTTCTGCAAAATAAGCTTCCATTTTCGAAATGATTTGCTAATCCACACAAAGCTGCTGCAGCAAATACTTTGTCTTCACTGATTTTGTTTCTTCCTAAACAAGACAACGAAACTTCAACTTTATTTTGACACGCCTTGATTAATTTTTTTACTGAATCAGTTTCCTTATCTCTTGCATATATAACATCAGTAACTATTTTTTTAGCTTTTATCACTGACGCTAGTGACTGGTCATCTATCTTATTTACAATATTTTTGACAAAATATTCTTTCGATTTCAAAAGGTTTTGAGTGCCTTTGTTTATAGTGATTTTTATACATTTTTTTTGGCCTTGAGAAGTTGGAAGACTGGATATTTTTATTTTTTTAGAAATCTTTTGGAGAATAGTATCTATATTCAAAATGCAATATGTTCTTTTCTTTATTCTTATATTATTTGCCATTTGCTTATATTGCACAGCCCTCATGGATTGGATTTTTTCTTTCATTTTTTGATAATAAATCTTATTGATAGTTTTCTTTTTCTCTGATTTTCTTTCTCTTTGTTTTTTTAATCTACGTAGAATTTTTTTAATTAATCTTTTGTCTGTGAGATTCATAATACTTTCTACTACGTTTGGCAGAATTTTTTGCTGATTTTTCTATGGAATTAATGGTTGGAACGCTATGGGAAACGTGTTGAATATCACTTCTCGCATCGAAAAAGGAAAAAGTGTTGAGATTTCTGTTTATACTTTTAATGTACGAATCAGAATCTTCTGGTTCATTTACGGAATTAAACTATGAATTTAACTCCTCATGAAATTCATTCTCAAAACTATCAACAATCGAATTGGATTGGAACAACACCGCTGGAGCACTATTTGTTACAGAATGTCCAAGGAACAGTTTTGTTGATCAACTTCGTCACAATGTAATTCAAAAAGATTGTCTTTAATTTGTTCTGAATTTAATTCTGTAATTTTCTCTAGAAAAATAACATATGCTCCTTCCGCATTTTGTGACTTAGACGAATACGTTTGAACATTGCTTTTTACTTTGTACTCTTTTTCAGACATTGAAATTACTTCGGCTTTCAAAGAATTCAATAGAGAATCAGTTATTTTAGGATATTTGCTATCGGATTCATTTTCATCCATTAACAATCGTAGAATCAATATATCTGTCATACTTTCAATAGAAATTTGCATATGTCTGTACCACCACATTGTGCTTCGTAAAGTATACCTACATCAGTCCATTGAGCTATCGAATTATAATCGATAATTTCTTGCACGCTGACGCATCTTCTTTGTCGTGGTAGGTATAATGATAATACAAATTTGCTTTCTTCAACTGATTTTTTCGAAACATCACACTGTATTCATCTTGTATTTGTAATAATATCAAAACAGACACTTGAATGTAAGTTTTGAGATTTCAAACAAAGTTCTGTAATGAGATCTGCAATATCTAACTCTTGATTTTGAATATATCTATAACCAGCAAATATTTTAATAACAATAACTGATATATTGTCACTAGAAGCATACACATCAAAAGCTTGTTGAAGTAAACTTGTTTCAGGATAATTTATAAATTTTAATCTTATTGACGGACAGTAAAATAAGCTTTGTATACATGAAGTTACGTAAGAATCTTTATTACGGTTTTCAATATCAATAATTTTCCAAGATCTATTAAAATTTAATACCATCTGTTTACTAGAATTCTTGTTGCTACCAGGTTCCACGAAAGAATATTTACATTTTTTTTTCGATATATTATCAGTTTCTAACTCATCATTAGACGCTTGGCTATCGATTAGTTCATCAAATTTTCGTTTGTTTTTTAAAAAGAATTTCTTGGATGTTACATTGGTTAGTGTTACACGATGAAATATCACCAATAATACAGTTTGAATAAATTTTTGATTTGATTTGATATCTATCACTAATATTCTCAGAAATAATATTTTCAAGAAAAATAATATATGCATTACTTGTACTCTCCTGTGATGGAAAACTATGAAAAGTCCTAATATATCAGTCGTCAGCTACTTTCCAATGGTTAAATTCATAAAGAACACTAGTGTAATGACCACATTCAATATTTAAACCATGATTCATAATTATACTATTCACTTTAAACATTTACCATTTATAATAAAGTATGGAAATAACTGGTTTAAAAATCGTTCACTACACATACGTAGTTTATTATTATTTGACGAATCGTAAATGTAGATAAAGTTAGTATCGTAATAAAAACAAATCCAAGGACCCTTTAGACCATTATGGCAAACATCATCGTAGTTATGTAGAATTTGTAAATGCAATGAATCACGAGAAACAGGTTCAAGCCACTGTCGTCCTGGACATTGCATAATTTGTGTTAATGATATAATACTTCTTGATTTAAAAATAGGTTTTTTTAGAGAGCATGAATGTAAAATACTATGAAATAAATTAATATGAATATCTTTTAAGTTTGATCCATTAAAATTTTTTTTTTATCCAAAGTACTTAATTTATATTGAAGACAATCGTTTTTATTTCGATCAGCCATAACATTTTATTCAAAGAAATATTTATTATATAAATTATTATTATATTATATATTTATTATTTATAAAATATTTATTTTATCCAAAGAAATATTTACAGAAAAATAAAAATATGAGAATCAACATTAAAAGCTTAAATATTCAATTATAAATATTGACTTTAGGTTATTACAAAAGGTTTAATAGACGATGTAATAAATGAAACAAAACTTTTTACTAGTAGAAGATTGATATAAAAATTTATTGTAAGATGGTAAAAAAATTATTATGATACGACATATATCGTAAAGCTAATAACAAATGATATTTCTCATACATTTTTTTTAAATATATATATATCGCAGTATATTAATAATAATAATCACTTTAGGTTATAATGTCCTGAAAGTAAATACTTTTGCAGTTCAAGTATTGTCTGTACAGTATAGGTTCAGTAGAGAAACCATAATCGTACAAATAAAAATTTATTGCACAAAGTTTGGTTTACTAACCATACAATAAAAAAGGCACAGTATTGATGGCAACAAGGTACAGTATAGGTACAGTAGAGGTACAATAAATCTGGATATATATGTATTAGGTGCAGTATAGGTGCAGTAATGGTACAATGAAGGCACAGTAAAAATGCAATGTAAATTTGCTACATACTACTAGTGTATTTTCAAAGATTCTTAAAAGAACAATATTATGCATATATATAAACAAATTTATTAAATATACTGAAAAATTATCGTGTTTTTTTACAAGTAATGAATAAATAAATCCTTTGAATCTCAGCCTTAGAAAGAAAACCTGAAAAGAAAAAATCTTATTACTTGTTGGTATTAAAAGTCAGAAAGATTTATTTTTAATATGTATATATTTTAATATCTGTGGGAAAAGCAATGACATTAATTGAAATTTGATCATTTCTAATTATTGCACATATATAAATAAAATAAATATGTGAAATGACTTAATATAAGTAAACGAAATTGCTATACTGAAAGAAATATTTGTTATTTAATGAATGTATTTCATGAAATCAATTATATTTAAAACAGTTATTTCTATGACTAATATGGTTTTCAGAATGTTTAAAGATACTCAATCAAGAAATATAAAAATTAAAAATATAATTATCTGGGCAACTAATGATTTATGGAACATTATTCTGTTATCATTGCATAACATGGAAGATTGAACGTTGAAAATGATAAAGTACAACTGATAATTTATTGACATAATATGATTGCAAATATTGGAACGTGTCTAACTTTCTACTTTTATAGGTTTGCGAATGTTCAGAAAATTTTTAATCCAAATGTTTTATTGTATACACTTTATATTTACAAATGATGTTTTATTGTATATGCTTGATCATATTGATTATATTTACTCTAAAAGGACCATACTTGTAATGAGCAAAAATGGATATTAATAATTTTTGCAGATATGGAATGAAATTTTGCTTTATTATGTATGCTTTTTTACATTTACCGTAAAGTGATGATACTTTTCTAATCAACAAAAGTAGCTATAAATTATTTTTGCAATTAAACTTATTGTATTGCTTAAAATGTGTGAGATAGAATTAAAAATATAAAATAAAACTATTTTTCATACTCCAAAGATGCAAAAGACGATAAGTTCTTGAAATAACAATGAGAGATTTTCATTGTAAGTGTAACTTGATTCCAATAAAATCAATAGAAGCAAAACAATACAAGTTCATCATCTATTCTAAAGAAAGCTATGAAACCAAAACAATGCAAATTCATTATTTATGTGGATAATAACTCTTGAAGAGTATGAACTGGACTTGATTTTCCCCTCTGTGTATAATACAATTATTCAAGACATATACTCACCAAAATTGTTTTAAATAGATTCTTGAGAAACACCACTTATATACTTTTTTACGCCTTTAAAACCAATGCACTTGGTGTGTAATGTCAATAAATTCAATCCAATACACTTGAGCGACAAAGTATAGCTTTAGTAAATGGAAAACCAATAATTTGAAAAAATAATAAACATTTTTCAAAATTAAATTTTCATGTGCCAGCTAAGTCAAAGAAATAAAATAAATATTTCAATTATAAACATGTATATACATACACATCAGAGTAATGTTACTCCTGAGCTTTCATTTGTTATTTACAGAATCTTGAGCTGTCATTTGTCATTAGTAAACTCATATCACTTTTGCTATAAGTAAGGGCAACTAAAAAAGTATTTATTACTTAATGGCAGTTTGTATACATTAAAATTTTCATATAAAAACGGATTAGACAAAACTTACAGGGCGGATGTTAGAGGTTAGACAAGGACGAACGTTTATTAATTAATTTGTTTTTGTTCTTCCGGAGAAACTTGAAAAGAACTCAGCAACTGTAACAATAACTAGCTTATTCTAATACTATTTTGTAAATTAAGGAACCCACATCACTGCTGAATATATAATAATGAATGACAGTATTTATAGACAGAAAGTTTCTTATTTCGTCGAAAACATGCGTATAATTTGCGAGATACAGCGATACTAATAGCGTTGTTGTCTATTGCGGAATACAACGGTACTAATAGCGCGGTTGTCTATAAGAAATTAGGTATTTGAATAATATAATAATTTGTACTTTTATTTTAATAAGTATCTTCACTATTTACTATATAAATATCTTTTTACAATCTCATAAAAATTTTTTTATATCCACAAATTAACGTAGTAAACAAACAATAAAGTCTAAGTAAGATACGGACAAAACAGTGGTAATCGTCACGATAACATTTTTTTGACTTCCTGAATACGATATTAAATTTTACCCTGTATGGTCTTTTTTAGTATGTTTACGAAGATGTATTTTTTGATGATTTTCTATTACATAAAAACTGGAATATTTTATATTGGAAAAAACTATAATAAAGAACTGATACACCTAAAACTAACAAACAATATCTACCTGAGAGCAAAATTTGTTATTATTTATAATATAATTTGTAAAAAAATTAAGTGATATAATAAAATGAAGTGTATCCTATGGTGATAATGAAAAGTAATTACCTTAAGAAATAAAGGATCAAAGAAACACAGTAATTACTACGATTTTTATTCAAATAAATACATAAATTAATTAGCTTATAGCTAATTTCTTGATAGAAGTCATGCTAAAATGTTTTTATGTCAATGTCATTATTTTGGAAACATTTTTTTCACATTAATATCGCATTGTTAATATTACTTGTACTTATACCTTAAAAAAGCAAAAAGACATTTTGTTACGTTATATAACTACTACATATTAATACATGAATTAATGAGAGAGAGAGAGAGAATCTATAAATAAATTTTGACTCTTATCAATCAGTTATTATCAAGACTGTAAGAAATACACTGAATCTAATTCTATTGTAGTGGTTATTAGTTCAGTTTTATTTTAGTGGGTTACTAAAGTACCATCATGGACCACCATTGTGCACGTGCTTAATTTAAAGGTTATTAATGACTAAGAGTGATAAAATAAAATGCAAAACTATATATTATTCCAATCTGCTGTTTAAAATAATAATTAAATAAAACTATTACTGACCTTGACAGAAATGTAAAATTTCCAACCAAAAAACTCAAGCTAAAGTATAATAAACCGCTAATAAGAACTCGTGGTAAACTGTCGATCAGACTCGTGGTAGACTGTCGCGATTAATTTTTGTTGCCGTAGTTGTGGTATTGCCGTAGTAGCACTAGGGGCAGAGCATTCGCTTCGCATCTTTTTCTACTATATTAACTATAACTATAACTATAATATAAATAATAACTAGTAGCTGTAAATCAGCTATGTTATCTTATTATCTTATTAATATCAAGTATATTATAAAATTATAATATAGTCAATATAAAAATAGTAAATATAGCCAATTAGTATATAATAAAATATTAGTTTTATAAGTTATCTTTTTATCTTCTTTCTACATACTCGTTATGAAGTTCAATCATCTTCATTTCTTTATATTTCTTTTTTTAACTTTTTACGTGTGAGATAGTTTGACGGAAAAAGAAAAGAAAAAAATCTAAAAACATAAAAAACTTTATAAAAATCGTATCGATCGACGTTATTTTTTTTTTAAATAACAGTAGTAGCATAATCTTTGAAACATCATGGAAAGGTGATCAGTTTTTTTTTTAAATCTGCAGAGAAAAATAAAAAAATCTCAGAAGGTCCGAATATAGCCATCTTGATGTATAGAGTGTCAGACGCTTATTTATTGCAGACTACTCGCCTGCGTATCGCGACCGCGACACTTGATAATTTGGTATGAGAGAGAGAGAGAGGGGGGAGAGAGAGAGAGAGAGAGAGAGAATTCGAAAATTGCTGTGAAAACTAATACTCGGCGCGAATACAAAAATTTACGATCGCGATTGATAAAATACTTTCGAAAGTATTTTGTCGCGCAACAATAAAGGGAGGTGCACCTACCCTGCGGTGCAATTACGGTGATCAGCAGTAATTGTTAAAGCGAAGTTGAAAGATGCTCCTCGGGTCAATCAGCTGTGCTGCCTCGTTCAAAAATACGCTGCTACTTGCTGCTACTGCAATGCTGCTGCCGCTGCTAAAATCCTGCTGCTACTGCTTCCTCGTAACTCACGCACGTATCAAAACTCGTCCCAGGAAACTTTCAATTTACAACGGCGAAACACAGTGCAAAAACTTCGGCGGTACTTTCGCGAAAGCAGCTGAGGCTTAAATGCCTATTTTCAAATTTTCGCGCGCCCTCTCTCTCTGTCTTAGTCGTTCGAACTAACTTTACTTATTGTCTTAATACTTGAGACAGATTGTAAGTAAACTTGGAGTAATAAAAAAAATTCTTATCGTAAAAAAATATCGGTTTACTGATTCCACATTTGGCATCTCTCCAGGTAATTAATGGAAAAATGCTCATCAGGGTTTGTTTGTTAAAAATGTAACTCAAAAATGACATATTTTGACTGTACGAGGGTCGTTTGAAAATCCGTGCAAAAATAAAAACTGCTTGATTTTTTCTAATAAATCTTTTTTATTTTTCAATATAGACTCCTTTTAGGCTTATATACTTCATCCAACGCTGCTCTAGTTTGTTAATCCCTTCCAAATAATAGGATTTGTCCAAGTCTGTAAAATGGACATTCGTTTCTGCAATCACCTCCTCGTTTAAATAAAATCTTTTCCCCGCCAGACATTTTTTCATATTAGGGAACAAATAGTAGTCCGACGGAGCCAAGTCTGGAGAATAGGGGGGATGTGAAACGAGTTGGAACCCTATATCCATCAGTTTTGCGGCCATATCTGCTGAGGGGTGAGCTGGCGCATTGTCGTGGTGGAAGTGGACTTTTTTGTGGGCCAATCGTGGACGTTTTTCTAGCAACTCGGTTTTCAAACGATCCAATAATGATGAATAATATTTGCCTGTAATGGTTCTACCCTTTTCCGGATAGTCGATGAAGAATATTCCTTGCGAATCCCAAAAGATAGTCGCCATAACCTTCCCGGCCGAAGGAATTGTCTTCGCCTTTTTCGGAGCAGATTCCCCATTGGTAACCTATTGTTTAGACTGTTTTTTGGTCTCAGGAGTATAGTGATGTATCCATGTTTCATCTACAGTGATGAAATTACGCTTAAAGCCTTGCGGATTTTGCTGGAACAACTGCAAACCATTCTTGCAACACTTCACACGATCTCGTTTTTGGTTAATCGTGAGCAATCGCGGCACCCATCTAGCGGATAGCTTTTTCATGTCCAAATGTTGGTGCAAAATATTATGTACCCGTTCGCTCGAGATGCCTACAGTACTAGCAATCTCACGCACCTTCACTCTTCTATCAGCCATCACCATATCATGGATTTTATCAATGTTTTCTGAAGCTCATATAGCCACTCCGAAAATTTTAAAACCACTTATAAACCATTCTAATCGAAGGTGCACAATCATCATAATGTTTATCAAGCTTCTGTTTAATCTCCTGAGGCGCTTTGCCTTTGAAAAAGTAATGTTTAATCAATACATGAAATTCTTTTTCTTCCATTTTTTTACAACCACTCGATTTCTTTGATTGAAACGAATGTAAAACGCAAAATAATTGGCCGATCTGGCTGAAACTTGGCGTGTGCTCTTCCAAGATATGCCACTAACTGAAAATAACCTTGATACGCACTAGTAGCGCCATCTCTCTGACTTTGCACGGACTTTTCAAACGAGCCTCGTATTTCTATTTTTAACGTGATGATTGGCTATTTATAATCTTCAAAATATAAACAATTTATAAATGAATCTTCAGTAAAAATAATGAGTACCAGACTTAGCCTAGAGCAAACCAAAATTAGTTAAATGAATTTAATAAAACTATATTATTTAATAAATGTATCTACTCTAATAACGTCTTTCTATTTCTTTCATATGTTAATGAAAGCGTTCTCTTTGTTCCTTACTAAAATTCTCAAGATTTATCTTGCGTAGTTATCAAAATGTAAATCGGAAAATTGCAACTTGTAACTTACAATCTGGTAATCAACTGTTTAATTTCATATTTATTTAATAATCATTAAATGCTGACTTCCTATTATTTTTAAAACCTACTAGTACCTACTATTGTTTTGAAAATGTTGAAAGTTGTGAAATTTATTTAAAGACGGCATGGGTGCTGTAAATTACTTTCAGAAGGTTTACATAACTTATTGAATAGTAATTTTATGCTTTATAGCAAATTGCATTAAAATAAATAACATTATATGTGATCAACAAATTTGGTGCATGGTTTTTAAAGATTATTATCATTTCAATGCTCATATGTTCACAGCAAGAAATTTTTCCTTCGCAATTTTTTAATATAGTAGTGATACAATGTTGGCATACATGGAGTTTTGTAAGTCATGATGTAATGATAACAGTGGTACAATCTTTTAAGTAATTTTAATAGTTCATGTAAATTTGCCTTAAAAAATACATCATCATATGTGTTGTTCCACACTTGAGTTGTAAATGAATTTATATTGTTAAACTTAAATAAATACGTAAGGATAAAAATGAAAAATCGTTAGAGACTTATATTGTTTATAAGTTGTTTACTACATTGTTTATAAGTTTCAATAGAACGAATGTCCAGTTGTTTATATAGAGCAGACAAAAAGAAAACTCAAACATAGAATTGAGGAACATAAAAATACTCCAATGGACCTATTTGATTTTAACAATGTTCGAATTTTAGACAAAGAAATTAGTAAGAATAAAAGATTAATTTCCGAAAAGATATTTATCAATATATACTGTGACGAATCGATAAGATCATTTGCATGATCTCGCTAGAAGTGCGATCGATGGCTCGCTCGACACTGTCTCGCGAGCAACTTCAGGCCGAGGCTCGCTAGGGAGTTGCTCGGACCGCCGAGCGCGGAGGACTCCGTTTTCTGCCGTCGACACGACAACACCTGAGAGGGCTCCGTTCTGTTCGCCTAGTGGATGAAGACGGGCAGTCCTGAGATGGCGTTTGTCGTAAT